ACATTAAAAAGACCATTCACCATGACCAAATAGGATTTATCCCAGGGATACAAGGATGGTTCAATATCCACAAATTAACCAATGTGACAATATTGTATTGATAGAAAGAATAATAAAAACTATATGATCATCTCAGTAGATGCAGAAAAAGCATTTGACAAAATCCATTATCTATTCATGATAAAAACTCTCAACAAAGTGGATATAGGGAGAACATATCTCAACATAATAAAGAGCATATGACAAATGCATAGCTAACATCATACTCAATGATGGGAAGCTGAAAGCTTTCCTCTAAGACAAGGATGCCTATTCTTACTACTTTTATTCAACATAGTACTGGAAGTCCAAGCCACAGGAATCAGACAAGAAAAAGAAATAAAGTCACCCAAATTAGTAAGAAAGAAGTAAAATTATCACTATTTACATGTCAGTAGATGACACAATACCATATAGAACACCCTAGGGACTCCACCAAAAACTATTACAAATAATAAATGAATTCAATAAAGTTGCAGTATACAAAATTAATATACAAAATCCATTGTGTTCCTATATACTCATAACAAAGTACCAGAAAGAAAATTAAGAAAACAATTCCATTTACAACTGCATCAGGAAGAATAAAGTACCTAGGAATAAATCCAACCAAGGAAGTGAAAGATCTACACTATGGAAACTATAAGACATTCATGAAAGAAACTGAAGACAACACAAATAAATGGAAAGATATTCCATGTCATGGACTGGAAGAACTAATCTTGGTAAAATGTTCACACTTATCCTAAACAATCTATAAATTCAGTGCAATCTCCATCAAAACACCAATGGCATTTTTACTGAACTATAACAAAGAATCCTAAAATTTGTATCAAACCACAAAAAAAATCCCAAGTTGCCAAAGCAATCTTGATAAAGAAGAAAAAAGCTGGAGGTATCACAAGCCTTGGTTTCAGACTATACTACAAAGCTACAACAATCAAAATAGTGTGATAGTGGCAAAAAACAGACCAACAGATCAATGGAACAGAATAGAGAGCCCAGAAATAAATCTACAACCATTTGATCAATTACTCTATGACAAAAGATGCAAGAATATACAATAGGGAAAGACAGTCTCTTTAATAAATGCTGTAAAAACTGGACAGACAAATGGAAAAGAGTGAAACTGAACCACTATCTTACACTATACACAAAAATATACTCAAAATGGATTAAAAACCTAAATGTAAGACCTGAAAACATAAAATCCTAAAAGAAAACATAGGCAGTAAACTTTTGAACATTGGCATTAGCAATTTTTTTCTGGTTATATCTCCCCAGGAAAGGGACATGAAAGCAAAAATGAACAAATGGGACTATATCAAACTAAAAACATTCTTCACAGAAAAGAAAACCACCAAAAACATCCCAAAACAAAACAAAACGGAAACCTACTGTATGGAAGGATATATTTGCAAATGAGATATCCAATAAGGTATTATATCCAAAATACATAAAGAACTCCTACAACTCAACATCAAAAACAAATAATCTGATTTTAAAAGTGATCAGGACCAGAACAGACATTTTTCCAAACAAGGCATACAGGTGGACACATGAAAAGATGCTCAACATCACTACTTATTAGGGATATGTAAATTCAAAAGTGCTATGAGATATTACCTTACACCAGTCAGAATGGCTAGTATCAAAAAGACAAGAAATAGCAAATGTTGCAAAGGATTTGGAGAAAAAGGAACCCTTGTACACTGTTGGTGGGAACGTAAATTGACACAACCAAGATGGAAAGTGGTACAGAAGTTCCTCAAAAAGTTAAAAATAGAAATACCATACAACACCATAATTCTGTCTGGGTATTTACCTGAAGAAAACAAAAACAGTCATTTGAAAAGATTCATGCACCCCTATGTTTACTGCAGCATTACTTACAAAATCCAAGATATGGAAGCAACCTAACTATATGTTAGGTGATGTGTGAAAATGTAGTGTATATATACAACGGAATATTACTCAAGCATAAAAAAGAATACAATCTTGCTCTATGTGACAACATGGATGGACCTACAGGATATAATGCTAAGTGGAATAACAGAAAGACAAATACCATGTGATTTCAAGGGCAAGTGGAATCTAAAATATGTAAAGAAATAGAACAGAGAACAAACAGGTGACTGCCATAAAGGAATGGTTTGGAGAGGATGGATGAAATAGGTGTAGGGGAAAAGAAATATAAACTTCCAATTATAAATAAATAAGACAGGGTAATGAAATGTACAGTGTAGGGAATACAGTCAATAACATTTTAATAACTTTGTGTGGTGATGGGTGGTAACTACACTTAATCAGGGTGAGCATTTCTTAATGTATAAAACTGTCAAATCTCAATGTTGCACACCTGAAACTAATATAATATTGCGTATCAACTATATTTCATATAAATAAAGTGAAGTTTCCATGTAGGTTTTTATTATCTCACTGATGCGAGCATTAGAATCTCTGCTGTGTGCTTGGATACAGCTTTGAATCACATAAAAGACTGACTTAATTGCACTGAGAAGGTCCAACAATCCCATGGAAATGGAAAGGGGTTTGGGGAGAAAAGTAGTGATTTTGGAGGGTTCCCTTCAAGAATATCTTCTCAAATTTGAATCCTCAGATTTATTCTCTGAGATCCACTAGGATTTTCTTTTTATCTCATTTAAAAAATTACAGTAAAATATACTTAATATAAAATGGACAATTTTTAAGTGCACAGTTCACATTCACACTGTTATGTAACCATTACCACCATCCAACAACAGAACTTTTTTCATCTTGCAAAACTGAAACTGCACCCAGTAAATACTAACTCCCCATCTCCACTTTCTGGTAATCACCATTTTTATCTCTGTGAACTTGACTACTTTTGGTACCTTGTATAAGTGGAATCATACATTATTTGTCCTACTGTGAAAGGCTTATTTCACTCAACATAATATCTTCAAGGTTCATCCATGGTGTAGCATGTGTCAGGATTTCCTTCCTCTTTAAGACTGAATAATATTCCATTCTATGTATATATGACATTTTGTTTATCAATTCATCTGTTGATGGACACTTGGGTTGCTTCCACCTTTTGGCTATTGTGAATAATGTTGCAATCATCATGGCTGTACAAATATTTGTTTGAGTCCTTGCTTTCAATTCTTTTGAGTACATACTCAGAAATGGAATTGCTGGATCATATGATAATTCCATTTTTAATTTTTTGAGGAACTGCCATAGTGTTCTACAGAGTGGCTGTGCCACTTTACATTCCTATCAGCAGTGCACAATTTCTCAACATCAGTGCCAACACTTGTTTATTTTCTGGTTTTTGTTTATTTTACAATAGCCATCCTAATGGGTGTGAAGTAGTATCTCATTGTGGTTTTGATCTGTATTTATTAATGATACTGTCTCTTTTCATGTACTAATTAGCCATTTGAATATCTTCTTTGGAGAAATGTCTATTGAAGCAGTTTGCCATTTCTTAATCAGGTTTTTTCTTTCTTTTCTTTTAAAGGGGTCAGTACATTACTCAAGTTTAAGAGACATTATCAATCAAACTCCCGATAAATCTGTTGGGTACTTGACATTCAGTTTCTTGCAAATAATCGTTTGCATTTACTAAACAATATCACAATTGTATGTAAAACAATTTATAAGCTTTAAATTTTAAAAATTATTGCATATGCAATAGACATTATTCTAAAGAAGACATACAAATGGCCAACAGGCACATGAAAAGATGGTCAGTATCACAAATCATCAGGGAAATGCAAATCAAAACCACAATGAGGTATCAGCTCACCCTAGTCAGAGTGGCTAATATCAACAAGACAAGAAATACCAAGTGTTGGCGAGGATCTGAAGAAAACATAACCCTTGTACACTGCTGGTGGGATTGCAAATTGGTGCAGCCTCTATGGGAAGTAGTATGGAGGTTTCTCAAAAACTTAAAAATAGAAATAAGACTCAAACCAGCAACTCCACTACTGAGAACTTACCTGAGGGAAACAAACCAGTATGGAAAAGATATACGCACTCCTATGTTTATCACAGCATTATTGTCAAATGGCCAAAATATGGAAGCAACTTAAATGTCCATCAGTAAATGAATAAAGATGTACATATACATAATGGAACATCACTTAGTCTTTAAAAAAATGAAATTTTCTATTCGTAACATGGATAGACCTAGAGGGTATCATGCTAAGTAAAATAAGTCAGAGAAAGACAAAATACCGTATGATTTCACATATATGTGGAATCTGAAAAACAAAAGAATAAAATAGAAATAGACTCCTAGGCACAGAGAACATACTTGTAGTTGCCATAGAGATGGCGGGAGGGAGGACAGGTGAAAGAGGTAAAGGGGGAAAAATAAGAGAGTGTTTTAATATATTGATCTCGGTGATGGTTACATGAGTGTATACACATGCCAAAATTCACCAGGCAGTACACTAAGATTTGTGCATTTTATTCTATGAACCTCAATAAAATTAATTACTGCAAGTGAAGTATAATTAACATTCAGAAAAAAAGTGCGTAAGAGTACAGTTTGGTGAATTTTCACAAATGGACACACATGCGTTACTAGGGCCAAGATCAGCAGAGACAGCCTTACCAGGACCTCGGAAGCCCCTCTCCTAATCAGTCTACCCCCTGCCTGCAAAGGTACACAGTATTTTAACTTTTAGCAGATTACTTTTCCTGTTTTTGTGCTTTAGAGCAATGGACTTATTCAGTATGTACTTTTGTGTCTGATTTTTTTAATGCTCAACTTTACCTTTCTGCAGTTCATCTATTTGTTGCTTGTGGGAGCAGATTATTATTCTCATTGCTGCCTAGTGTTCCATCATATGAACACTGTGCGAATTCATTACTTTATTCTGCTGGTGTCTTTTGAGTTATCTCCATTTACGGGCTCTCAAATCAGAAGCAGCAGTGAACATTCCGAACCTGCTTGTCGATGCACCATAAGCATCCATTTCTCTTGGCTGCATAAACACACGTGGAACTGCTGGATTAGGGTACGCTCCTTTCGTAGATACTCCAAACTGTTTTTTAAAATTGTTAGAATTTACATTCCAGCAACAGGGTAGGATTCTGTTACTCCACATCCTCGCCAACATTTGGTATTTTCCTTTTTTTTCCTCTCCTATTCTATTCTAGTTTGAAATATAAAAACAACTGAGGCAAACTTTAGATTGCTTTTGGGGGGACTCCTTTAGTTTTTGGTTTGGTTCTCCCAATTAGTAACCATGTCGGGCTTCTACCTTGTCCAGTTACAAACTGCAGACTGCCAGTGAGTTTTCGACTTTGCTCGAGTTTTGCTCACTCCGCCGCCACTAGGTCATCTGGTCAAGAGAATGAAGTGTGCGTCTAGGGCGGGCCGAATCCTGGGAGTATTCTGGAAGTCTGAGCGCTGTGTAACTTACGCAGGCTTCCTCGGCCAGTGTCTTTGCGCTGTAGTCCACGCCCTGGGAGCTCCTGCAGGCAGCTAGTCCCGCCGCCGCACACCCGGGTCCCTGGGGGGCGCCGGCATCTCAGAGCGGCCGCCCCCCAGCAACCAGCCGGGACCCGGAGGCGGCGGGAGGGCGCCGGGCGGCGCGGAGCATGCGCAGACCCAGCGCGGCGCATGCTCTGCAGCGCGGCGGGCCCGCGGGTGAGATGAGTAGAGGTTTCCGCGCCCTGCTGTCCTCGGCTGAGCGATTGCTGAGATGCTTGTTCTGAAACTTGGCTGCCAATAAAGTTCACTTAAAAAATCGTAGTCATTCTTAAAAGAGAGAAAAAGGCTGCGATCCAGGCGGGCGGCCCCGCCAGGAGGTCGCGGAGACGGCGGCGGTGGCGATTGCGCCGCGGCCGGGAGGAGCCGGCGGCGTCTGGCGGTGGGTCCGCGGCCGGCTGGAGACGGTGAGTAGCGGCTCGCTCCCGGGGCGGCGGCCCTGCGCTCCGCCACCCGGGGGCTCCCGGCTCCGCTGCGGATAGACCCGCCTCTGCCCGCGGTCCTGCGCTGCGCCTGGCCCCGGGGACCGGGGCGCAGGGACCTCCAGGCCCGGCTCCCAGCCCCGGCCGGGCCGCCGGGCACCTCTCCGCCTCGGAGCACGGCGCCCAGGCTGCAGCTGGAGGAGGTGGGCTGCCCCGCCCGGCCCCCGGAGGGGCTCCTGTAGTGGTGGAGGGGGGTCCCTGGACTGGCCCCAGGGCGGGAAGGAGCGCGGTGGGAGGGGGCGAGGCGCCGCGCCTTCCGCCTGGCTACCGACAGCTCCTTGGCCTCCCCCAGCCCCCGGGGTCGGGGCGGCTCCGAAGCCGGGAGACCGCGGCCAGGGGCTGGCACAGCCCGCGCTCGGTTTAATGGGGAAGAAGGTCCCAAACTCCGCCGCCTTTCAGAGCCCCCTTCTGCCTGCGGGGGCCCCCTGCCCGTCCGCGGCCCCACCCTCCCCTGGTTTCTCGCCGCGAGGCTCCTGGACTATGAATGAGCCAACTGCAGTTTCATTGACATTGGCAGCCGCGGAGTTACTTTACTCGGACAACCGCGGAGCCTTCGCAGCCACGGCAGGTCCCAGGCAGGAGAACCCCAGGGTGTGTGGGGGCAGGAACTCCACTGTCAGGCGGCAGCAGAGCCTGGAAAGGGTCATTTACTTCTCTAGGTTTTATATAACTCCTGACATCTTACAGCAAGGAAATTTCACTGAACCCAAGAATTTTTTCAGTATTTTATAAATACAATCATACCTGTACTTAAGTACGGGCTTTGATGAAATCCCAGCCTTTCGGTCAGTTAACTCATCCTTTCCTTTTCCAATTTACTACCCTGCATTGATTGGAAAAATCTTTAAAATTCAATTTAGAGGAAAGTATGTACAGGATTACTGTCAGGCTCTTGTACTCAGAATTATGCGTATTTTTCAGGAACTTGTTTTGAGAATCAGTGCTTTAAGTCTATAGAGTAGAAGTGGCTGATAATCACAAGAGGCAGATTGCCTATGTTAAAATCTAATTCCATTTTTTTTTCTTTCAAATTGTATTATTTTTAAATTTATCACTCAGTAAAATTGACTTTTGGAGGGGTGTAGAGTTTGAGTTTTAGATTCATGTCACCATCAGAACAATTAGGATGTACAGCAGTTTTCATCACCTGCCAAAACCTCATGCTATCCTGTTCCATTGATTTTTATCTATCTTTCTCTTTGCTAGTATCATATCTTCTTGATTAATGTAGCTTTATAGTGTCTTAAAATTGGGCAGTATGATTTCCTCCAGTTTTATTCCTTTCCAATGTTTTAGGTATTCTGGTTCCTTTGTTTTTCTATATAAAGTATAAAATCAGCTTGTTTCTAACTACAAAAAATCCTGCTAGTTCTCTGGAATTGCATTAAACCATAGATTAATTTGGGGAGAAATGTTATTTTTACTTTCTGAGTCAATCTGTGAACGGGGTATCTTTACACTTTTTTACTTCTGTGTTCCATTAGTGTTTTATAGTTTTCAGCATACAGATCCTGTACATGTTTTATTGGATTCATACTTTTTTGGGGAACTCTTAAATGTCACTTAAAACTCTTGGATTTATACTTTTTTGGGGAACTCATGTTTCATTTCAAACTGTACATTATTAAGATATAGAAATACATTTGAGTATTGTGTGTTGCTCTCGTATTGTGTCCTTGCTAAACTTATTAGTTACAGGATTTTTGTTTGATTCCTTACAGTTTTCTATATAGACAGTTATATCATTTGTGAATGGATGTTTTATTTATTTTCATTGCCTTTTGCCCTGGCTAGGACTTAATGTATATTGAATAGGACTAATGAGAGTGGACATCCTTACCCTCGTTCTCAATCTATGGGGGAAAACAAGTAGTCTTTCAGAATTAAAAATGTTAGCTGAAAGGTTTCTGAATAAGTCCTGTTCTGTTTCTAGTTTGCTTAGTTTCTTCTCACAAATGGATGTTAAATTTTGTCACATATTTCCTCTTAATCAATTGATATGGTGATGTGGTTTTCCTTTTTTACTCTGTTAATATAGTGGATTACATTGATTGATTTTGAGTATCGAACCAGCCTTGCATTCCCAGAATAAAGCCCACTTGCTTCTGGTTATTCTTTTTATATATTACTGGATTCAGTTTACAAATATCTTGTTGAGGATTTTTGTGTCCATATTCATGAGGAGATATTTGTCCTAATTTTTTTTTGTACTGTTTTTATGTGGTGTTGGTATCTAAATAATGGGGATTGTTTGTTCCTCTTATATATTCTGGAAAAGACTGTACAGCCTTGTTCTTGAAAAATTGGGTAGGATTATTCAGTGAAATCAGTTGAATGTGGAGATTTCTTTTTGAGTTTTTTAAGTTATGAATTAAATTTCCTTAATTCTTATAGGGCTGTTCAAATTATGTATTTCATATTGGGTGAGTTGTGGTGGTTAATGTTTTTCAAGAAATTAGTTCATTTCATCTAAGCTGTCAAATTTATGTATGTAGAGTCATTTGTTATGTTATCCTTTGAGTCCACAGAGTGCATAGTGATTTCCCCTATTTTGTTGCCGATACTGGTAATGTGTGTCTTCTCTCTTTTTTCTGTTAGTTAATTTTATTGAACTTTCAAAAAACAGCTTGTTGTCTCATTAATTTTCTCTATTTTTCAGTTTTCAATTTCATTGTTTTCTGTTATCTTTACTATTTACATCCTTTTGCTTGCTTTGGGTTTATTTTGCTCATCTTTAGTTTCTTGAGATGAGAGCTTATATTATCAATTTGTGACTTACTCTCTAAGGTAAGCATTTAGTGCTGTATATTTTCCATCAGCACTACATTAGCTGTGTCCCTCAAATTTGGAATGCTGTATTTTCATTTTCATTCAATTATTTTTATTAAAGTTCTCTTAAGCTGCTTCTTTGGCCTGTGGATTGCTTAGAAGTCTGTGGATTGCTTAGAATTCCCCAAATATTTGGAGATTTTCCTGTTATCTTTCTGTACTGATTTCTAGTTTGATTCCATTGTGGTCCCATTATTTTAATTTTGTTGAGGTTTGTTTTATGAACTAGAATATGTTCTGTGTCCAGTGAGTGCTTGAAAAAAAGTATATTCTGCTGTTGTATGGACAGCAATATAAATGTCAATTAAATTCTAATATAGTTTTATTGTGTTTTTAGAATTTCATTTTGTTTTATCTGTAGTGTTTTTGAGTATCTCTCTACATAACTATTTTAGTGCTTGCTCTATCTAATTTATCACAGTCTGTTGCTGTCAACAGACACCTCACCAGTTGAAGAGAAGCATAGAAACCTTACCTCCCTTTATATTTCCTTTATTCTCTCCCATTTATAATTGTCTTAAATATTTTCTCTACATATGTAACCACACGGGACGGTGTCATAATTTTTGTTTCGACTTTGAAAACATAATTGAGAACACTCAAGAGAAGTCTTACTTTATTTACTCTTTTTTTTTTCTCCAACCATGTTCTTTCTTTTGTTTGATTATTTTTTAAGTTTTTGTTTTGTTTTGGTTTGGTTTTTTTAATCACAGATGGAGACCTGGATCTTAGGCTTCAGCAAGTGCTCCTAGGTGATTCTTGGATCATGCAAGTTTGTGAAGCACTAGGGACAATTACTGAGACTTCTTGAGGGGAAAAGAAAAGAATGTTCTTCACATTTGAGACTTGTTTTATGTGGTGATTGTACAGAAAAATTTTTCAGTTAAAGTAGTTGGACTATAATAGCTAGGTAGGAAGGAACTTAACTAGTAATTTTAAGAAGAAATTAGAGAAATTTACGTTCTGTTCTTTTCCATCTAAAATGCAAGCAGTACACATTCCATTACTTTTATTATATGAGAAACTGTAACTAGTCTGACATCAAAGAATGCGTGGCATAAGATTATTTTTAAAGGATTCATTGTAACCAGAACACTAGAGCACTGTAACTAAGAGCCCAACGTTGTCACACAGTTTTATGTTACTATGTAAGTCTTTTCTTTGGGGTGCTTTTCTAAGGACATTAATTATTGCCTGTGAGGTTGAAAAGCAGTTTCCATAGATTTTGTATTTGTTGCCCATTTGGTGGTGACTGTGGAGGATTTATGTTTTATAAAACTACCATTCTTTGAGTGCTTAACTTTCACTATGCTGAGTGCTTTATATGTATCGTTTATTAACAATCCGATGAGTTAATAAATATCCTCAGGAAACTGAAGCCTAAAGAGTTCAAGCATTAACTTCACTGAGAAACTAGTAAATGGCAACTTCAGACCTCAACTCTAACACCCATAGTCTTAGTGTCCATGAAACGCAGAACCACAACATCTAGGTATTGACTGATACCTGGATGGCATTACGTTGTGCTATTGGCAAGGATTCAGAAATGAATGACGTTATTCCTCCTGTTAAAGAATGTCATTATCTAAACAGGGTGTGAAGGGGGAAACAAATTCTTGTAATGCAATGTAATTATTTCTTGATAAAACAATTATAACTTAATTCGTTTTGTACAGTTTTTGTGTCATGAAAAAAATAATTTCATTTTAAACCACAGATTTAAGAGGGAAGATCTGATCACCTGGAATTAAATTTGGTACAGAAACCTTTTCAACTCCAAAAATGTTGGAGGAAGATATAGAAGTGGCCATCAAGATGGTGGTTGTAGGGAACGGAGCAGTTGGAAAATCAAGTATGATTCAGCGATACTGCAAAGGCATTTTTACAAAAGACTACAAGAAAACCATCGGAGTTGATTTTTTGGAGCGACAAATCCAGTATGTACTTGGCCATTTTTCCCCTCTGTTTTCATATATGAACTGTATCCAGACTTTCATCAGAATAAAAGTAACTAATTATAGTAGAGTCGAAGGTTAGGCTTATGAGTCCAAGGCAGTGGCTTATGAGAACTGTTGGGGGTTTTCTGTTACTCATTCCTGTATGTGTATTTATCCTGTCTTTTTCCCCCTTTCATTTCTTTTCCCTTCCTCTCTCATTTTCTTTCTTTTTTCCTCTCCTTTGCATCCACCCCACCCCCTGCCTTTTTCTATCTTATATCTGTTTCATATTGATGGCATCTTGGGCATTTCTTCCACAGAAACTGATGCTTGACTCAGGATTTCCGTCCACTACAGGCATACCTTGGAGATATGCAGTTAAGTGGATACTGCAATTAAGCAAGTCAGGTGAATTGTTTGGTTTGCAAGTGCATTTATAAGTTATGCTTACACTATACTGTAGTCTCTTAAAGGTGGAATAGCATTGTGTCTAAAAAAAACAATGTACATACCTTAACTAAAAAATACTGTATTGCTAAAAAATGCTGTCATCTGAGCTTTCAGGGAATCATAATCTTTTTGCTGGTAGAGGTGTCTTGCCTCACTGTTGATGGCTGCTGACTGATCAAGGTAATGGTTGCTGAAGGGTGGGATGGCTGTGNCTTAAAAATAGAAATAAGACTCAAACCAGCAACTCCACTACTGAGAACTTACCTGAGGGAAACAAACCAGTATGGAAAAGATATACGCACTCCTATGTTTATCACAGCATTATTGTCAAATGGCCAAAATATGGAAGCAACTTAAATGTCCATCAGTAAATGAATAAAGAAGATGTACATATACATAATGGAACATCACTTAGTCTTTAAAAAAATGAAATTTTCTATTCGTAACATGGATAGACCTAGAGGGTATCATGCTAAGTAAAATAAGTCAGAGAAAGACAAAATACCGTATGATTTCACATATATGTGGAATCTGAAAAACAAAAGAATAAAATAGAAATAGACTCCTAGGCACAGAGAACATACTTGTAGTTGCCATAGAGATGGCGGGAGGGAGGACAGGTGAAAGAGGTAAAGGGGGAAAAATAAGAGAGTGTTTTAATATATTGATCTCGGTGATGGTTACATGAGTGTATACACATGCCAAAATTCACCAGGCAGTACACTAAGATTTGTGCATTTTATTCTATGAACCTCAATAAAATTAATTACTGCAAGTGAAGTATAATTAACATTCAGAAAAAAAGTGCGTAAGAGTACAGTTTGGTGAATTTTCACAAATGGACACACATGCGTTACTAGGGCCAAGATCAGCAGAGACAGCCTTACCAGGACCTCGGAAGCCCCTCTCCTAATCAGTCTACCCCCTGCCTGCAAAGGTACACAGTATTTTAACTTTTAGCAGATTACTTTTCCTGTTTTTGTGCTTTAGAGCAATGGACTTATTCAGTATGTACTTTTGTGTCTGATTTTTTTAATGCTCAACTTTACCTTTCTGCAGTTCATCTATTTGTTGCTTGTGGGAGCAGATTATTATTCTCATTGCTGCCTAGTGTTCCATCATATGAACACTGTGCGAATTCATTACTTTATTCTGCTGGTGTCTTTTGAGTTATCTCCATTTACGGGCTCTCAAATCAGAAGCAGCAGTGAACATTCCGAACCTGCTTGTCGATGCACCATAAGCATCCATTTCTCTTGGCTGCATAAACACACGTGGAACTGCTGGATTAGGGTACGCTCCTTTCGTAGATACTCCAAACTGTTTTTTAAAATTGTTAGAATTTACATTCCAGCAACAGGGTAGGATTCTGTTACTCCACATCCTCGCCAACATTTGGTATTTTCCTTTTTTTTCCTCTCCTATTCTATTCTAGTTTGAAATATAAAAACAACTGAGGCAAACTTTAGATTGCTTTTGGGGGGACTCCTTTAGTTTTTGGTTTGGTTCTCCCAATTAGTAACCATGTCGGGCTTCTACCTTGTCCAGTTACAAACTGCAGACTGCCAGTGAGTTTTCGACTTTGCTCGAGTTTTGCTCACTCCGCCGCCACTAGGTCATCTGGTCAAGAGAATGAAGTGTGCGTCTAGGGCGGGCCGAATCCTGGGAGTATTCTGGAAGTCTGAGCGCTGTGTAACTTACGCAGGCTTCCTCGGCCAGTGTCTTTGCGCTGTAGTCCACGCCCTGGGAGCTCCTGCAGGCAGCTAGTCCCGCCGCCGCACACCCGGGTCCCTGGGGGGCGCCGGCATCTCAGAGCGGCCGCCCCCCAGCAACCAGCCGGGACCCGGAGGCGGCGGGAGGGCGCCGGGCGGCGCGGAGCATGCGCAGACCCAGCGCGGCGCATGCTCTGCAGCGCGGCGGGCCCGCGGGTGAGATGAGTAGAGGTTTCCGCGCCCTGCTGTCCTCGGCTGAGCGATTGCTGAGATGCTTGTTCTGAAACTTGGCTGCCAATAAAGTTCACTTAAAAAATCGTAGTCATTCTTAAAAGAGAGAAAAAGGCTGCGATCCAGGCGGGCGGCCCCGCCAGGAGGTCGCGGAGACGGCGGCGGTGGCGATTGCGCCGCGGCCGGGAGGAGCCGGCGGCGTCTGGCGGTGGGTCCGCGGCCGGCTGGAGACGGTGAGTAGCGGCTCGCTCCCGGGGCGGCGGCCCTGCGCTCCGCCACCCGGGGGCTCCCGGCTCCGCTGCGGATAGACCCGCCTCTGCCCGCGGTCCTGCGCTGCGCCTGGCCCCGGGGACCGGGGCGCAGGGACCTCCAGGCCCGGCTCCCAGCCCCGGCCGGGCCGCCGGGCACCTCTCCGCCTCGGAGCACGGCGCCCAGGCTGCAGCTGGAGGAGGTGGGCTGCCCCGCCCGGCCCCCGGAGGGGCTCCTGTAGTGGTGGAGGGGGGTCCCTGGACTGGCCCCAGGGCGGGAAGGAGCGCGGTGGGAGGGGGCGAGGCGCCGCGCCTTCCGCCTGGCTACCGACAGCTCCTTGGCCTCCCCCAGCCCCCGGGGTCGGGGCGGCTCCGAAGCCGGGAGACCGCGGCCAGGGGCTGGCACAGCCCGCGCTCGGTTTAATGGGGAAGAAGGTCCCAAACTCCGCCGCCTTTCAGAGCCCCCTTCTGCCTGCGGGGGCCCCCTGCCCGTCCGCGGCCCCACCCTCCCCTGGTTTCTCGCCGCGAGGCTCCTGGACTATGAATGAGCCAACTGCAGTTTCATTGACATTGGCAGCCGCGGAGTTACTTTACTCGGACAACCGCGGAGCCTTCGCAGCCACGGCAGGTCCCAGGCAGGAGAACCCCAGGGTGTGTGGGGGCAGGAACTCCACTGTCAGGCGGCAGCAGAGCCTGGAAAGGGTCATTTACTTCTCTAGGTTTTATATAACTCCTGACATCTTACAGCAAGGAAATTTCACTGAACCCAAGAATTTTTTCAGTATTTTATAAATACAATCATACCTGTACTTAAGTACGGGCTTTGATGAAATCCCAGCCTTTCGGTCAGTTAACTCATCCTTTCCTTTTCCAATTTACTACCCTGCATTGATTGGAAAAATCTTTAAAATTCAATTTAGAGGAAAGTATGTACAGGATTACTGTCAGGCTCTTGTACTCAGAATTATGCGTATTTTTCAGGAACTTGTTTTGAGAATCAGTGCTTTAAGTCTATAGAGTAGAAGTGGCTGATAATCACAAGAGGCAGATTGCCTATGTTAAAATCTAATTCCATTTTTTTTTCTTTCAAATTGTATTATTTTTAAATTTATCACTCAGTAAAATTGACTTTTGGAGGGGTGTAGAGTTTGAGTTTTAGATTCATGTCACCATCAGAACAATTAGGATGTACAGCAGTTTTCATCACCTGCCAAAACCTCATGCTATCCTGTTCCATTGATTTTTATCTATCTTTCTCTTTGCTAGTATCATATCTTCTTGATTAATGTAGCTTTATAGTGTCTTAAAATTGGGCAGTATGATTTCCTCCAGTTTTATTCCTTTCCAATGTTTTAGGTATTCTGGTTCCTTTGTTTTTCTATATAAAGTATAAAATCAGCTTGTTTCTAACTACAAAAAATCCTGCTAGTTCTCTGGAATTGCATTAAACCATAGATTAATTTGGGGAGAAATGTTATTTTTACTTTCTGAGTCAATCTGTGAACGGGGTATCTTTACACTTTTTTACTTCTGTGTTCCATTAGTGTTTTATAGTTTTCAGCATACAGATCCTGTACATGTTTTATTGGATTCATACTTTTTTGGGGAACTCTTAAATGTCACTTAAAACTCTTGGATTTATACTTTTTTGGGGAACTCATGTTTCATTTCAAACTGTACATTATTAAGATATAGAAATACATTTGAGTATTGTGTGTTGCTCTCGTATTGTGTCCTTGCTAAACTTATTAGTTACAGGATTTTTGTTTGATTCCTTACAGTTTTCTATATAGACAGTTATATCATTTGTGAATGGATGTTTTATTTATTTTCATTGCCTTTTGCCCTGGCTAGGACTTAATGTATATTGAATAGGACTAATGAGAGTGGACATCCTTACCCTCGTTCTCAATCTATGGGGGAAAACAAGTAGTCTTTCAGAATTAAAAATGTTAGCTGAAAGGTTTCTGAATAAGTCCTGTTCTGTTTCTAGTTTGCTTAGTTTCTTCTCACAAATGGATGTTAAATTTTGTCACATATTTCCTCTTAATCAATTGATATGGTGATGTGGTTTTCCTTTTTTACTCTGTTAATATAGTGGATTACATTGATTGATTTTGAGTATCGAACCAGCCTTGCATTCCCAGAATAAAGCCCACTTGCTTCTGGTTATTCTTTTTATATATTACTGGATTCAGTTTACAAATATCTTGTTGAGGATTTTTGTGTCCATATTCATGAGGAGATATTTGTCCTAATTTTTTTTTGTACTGTTTTTATGTGGTGTTGGTATCTAAATAATGGGGATTGTTTGTTCCTCTTATATATTCTGGAAAAGACTGTACAGCCTTGTTCTTGAAAAATTGGGTAGGATTATTCAGTGAAATCAGTTGAATGTGGAGATTTCTTTTTGAGTTTTTTAAGTTATGAATTAAATTTCCTTAATTCTTATAGGGCTGTTCAAATTATGTATTTCATATTGGGTGAGTTGTGGTGGTTAATGTTTTTCAAGAAATTAGTTCATTTCATCTAAGCTGTCAAATTTATGTATGTAGAGTCATTTGTTATGTTATCCTTTGAGTCCACAGAGTGCATAGTGATTTCCCCTATTTTGTTGCCGATACTGGTAATGTGTGTCTTCTCTCTTTTTTCTGTTAGTTAATTTTATTGAACTTTCAAAAAACAGCTTGTTGTCTCATTAATTTTCTCTATTTTTCAGTTTTCAATTTCATTGTTTTCTGTTATCTTTACTATTTAC